GACATGGCACTTTAAAAATATAATAATCCATATACTCATTCAAACCACATACATACATTTTTTCTGAATAAAATTTTATTTTTTCCCAATTACATATAAAACAATTTTGAACATTCATTTTAAAAAAAATTTGAGTTCTAAATTCTTTCCCTCCCTTCTCTCCCTCCTTCCTGATATGGTAAGCAAATTGATACAGGTTATACATGTGCAATCATGCAAAACATATTTCCATATTAGTCCACATACATTCAAACCACTTTCTTTTGTGTTTTATCCATCACTGACCTACCTAACTCCATGGGAAAGCTCTAGACTAATCAAAATGTTCATCATCACTGTATTCACCAAAAATTTCCCCAGTTTTAGTTCAGCTATAGAAAATGATTTTTTCTCCTTCTGTCTCTATGAAATAGAGTGATAACATGGTTTGATAGTCATTCAGTCTGGTCATTGTTCTGAAAGCCCCTGTAATAAAAGGGCCTTCCTCTCATTTTATTGTTTTTTTTCTCCCCTGTTTCCTGTGAATTCTCAGCAGGTTTCACAAGATCCAACAGAAATAATTAATGACTGAATAGTGAGTGGGTGCTGCCTGTCTTTGATTTTTATGGGATCAAAGGAATCCTGCAGGGAAAACAACAACAAACCCGACTGCACATTTGATGCAACATAATCTTATTTAGAATCATAGATTTAAGAATCAGAAAGATCCTTAGATATTAACTTGATCTAGCCCCCTCATTTTATGGACACACAGGCTGAGACTCAGAGAGATTAAGTGTACTAGGTCAGGATCTCAAAGGTACTTGCCATATCTCAATACTTTTTTAAAAATGGTGACTTCCTCAATTTTGGTACTCCTCTGATGCATATAGCAGCCTCTCCATATCTTCATAAATGGCCTTGTTTATTTGCTGTAAATATATCTCCCTTGGTGGCCAATATTCCAGTGATCTGGAGCATCTATGCCCTTAAGTGTTAGCCCTGATAGATGGGGTCAGTCACCACCTTCTAGCTTGGAAGGACTTGTTAAAACTCACTGTGTTGGCACAATCTTCAAGAATTTAGAATCATCTCCATGTTGTGATGAGGCATCAGAGCAGGCTGCTAGTGGAGAACTTGTCCCATACTTTTGGAAAACAAGAAGCTAAGGGGACAAAATTGCAAATGGAAGTGATGACAACCAGCTAAAACAGGGGCTATTAACCTGGGTTCTACAGACGTCCAAGGTTCCATAGAGAGATTTCAGGGGGTCCACAAACTTGCATGGGAAAAATTATATCTTTATTTTAATGTAATTGGTTTCTTTTGTAATACTGCATATTTTATTGTATGCACTTAACATTATTCTGAGGAGTTCATAGGTTCCCTTAGACTGCCAAAAGAACCCATGACCAAAAAATTGGTTAGGAAACCCTGAGCAAAAGCAGTTTCCAAGCTATCTGTGTGATCATTCTTCACTTTGTAGTTTAAAGTCTGGTTCCTCCCATAATTCCAGGCCATGATATTTCATGTCAGTTCTTACTTGACAAACATATGATCACCTAAGCCAGTTATCACTCAAGCAAAAATGTCAAAGAAATGTACTTGAATCTACTTTGAGGTATCAAAACTGGGGCCATGTATCTCTGGATTAATGGCACTGGTAAGGGACAGGGCAATAATTCCTAGACTCTCAACTATGAACTTAAGAGCATTGAAGGCCTGACTAAATGGAATTTCGATGGTTCTAGCATTTGTAAGTCTGAAAGCTCTATATGTACTCTGCTTCTTTTTTAGAATGAAATTCAGTAAAAAGCAAATTAGTCTTGAATACTGTCCCTGAAGATACACTAATAGAACTATCAGAAAGATACCAATATTATACCATTTCACCTGTAATATAGCTATAATCCAACTGTAATACACAATTTCACCTATAATCTCTACACAGATTAAAGACTCTTCAATTTAGAAGAGACTTTAGGAATTCTTTTTTTCAGAAATCCCTATTTCTGGCTCTGACTCCACTTCCTTGTAACTTCTTGATACCGAAATCTCTTCCAAGCAGCTTTTTTTTCAGTTTTTGATATCTTTCTAATGAGAGAAATATTAAATTCCTCACTTTAGATTCATCCAATGATAGCCCTTATTTGCTTTTATAGATTCCCCAAATCATTTTTTCCAAAATAGCCATTTCCCTAACTCCAGTGTCTGTCCTTTCTGCTCTCTCATTCCAATGATTATTTAGAAATTTTCACATACCCATTCCCTTTAGTACCTCCTATGAATTCTAGTAGATTTTCCCTTTTTTGGTCTCTGGTGGAGAATCTTTTTTTCTGTTTGTTTTGTCTTGTTTTAACTGAACATACATAGCATAGTTCTTAAACAAAAATATAAGGCATTTTCCCATGATGGCAACCATTCACCAGATCGTCATCCTAGAATAAAATCATCTTCACCGTTTTACCTTCTTAAAATATCATTAAGTGCTTTCAGATGCAGTATAAACAACAGAAACAGATCTCTGAATTTTTTTGCTCACACTGCTTCTTGGAATGGCTACCCAAATCATCTTTCCTGGAAGCCGTAAAAGTCACATTTACAACTTAGAAGTAGAGTGAAGTGCTTCTCTTGCAAACCAATACAATATCCTGGTTCCTGGTTTAACACTTGCTTATTTCGCCCTTTATGATGTGGTACGAGCTTGGGTGGGCTAATGGAATTGTTGAAGTTACTGCAGCCACAGCCAGTCCTAAACTCGACGCCTTTGGTCCACCTCTCCTGGTGCTTTACCTACCTGGGGGCCGGAAATATACAAGAATTAGCCAGAAGCTGAGAAAGGTAGTCAGAAGTCTTTTCCTGAGTTCTAACTACCTATAGATTGCTTCCTTGAGTTTCTAGGTCTGATGACTATGGAGGGGGAGTTATATTTTATATTCTTTTAATTCTTGAATTGTGTGTTTTTAATGTTTAATTATTAAAGTACTTCTTAATTGAATTTTATGGATCATGACCATTACTGCATTTTTTAAAACCTTGAACCTGCAGAATTAAGCTAAATTTAGTTTTAGCTCACAATATATGGTTTACAAAGTATTTTCCTATATATAAGCTCATTTTATGCTCAAAACAAGCCTAAGAGGTAAATGGGGGAACTCTTATTATTTTAAGAGATAGGAAAATTGAGATTCAGAGATATGAATCATGCAGTGTGGTTCAATGGAAAGAATGCTGGCCTTGGAGTCAGATAACTTGGACCAGTTAGTCAGTGAGTCAGTCAAACAACAAGCATTTATTAAGGACCTACTATGTGCCAAATAGACAGTCCTCGCCCAGGAGGAGCTCAGAGTCTAATGATTCAAATATCATTCTGCTATTTACTACCTGTGTGACCTTTGTTAAGTCAGGAAGCCTCTCTGGGTTCTAGTTTCCTCCTCTGGAAAGTGAGAGAGTTAGACTAGATGACCTATAAGGTCTCTTACAGATCTAAATCTGTGATACTATTCAAAGTAACCTAGAACTGAGACTCAAGTCCAGGTCTTTTGGGTTCAATCAAGTCCAGTGTTCATTCCAACAGATCATGTTATCTCTCCATAATATGCAGTGATAAAGTTGTATTTGTCTTCCTCTGAGTTTTCTGAGTTTTTTTACTCTGAGTTTCTTTGCCTTTGGACAAAAAAAATAACACTAGATATTATTACTTTAGAAAATTAGGGGCAGCAAGGTGGCTCGGTGGATAGAGCACCAGCCCTGAAGTCAGGAGGACCTGAGTTCAAATTCAGCCTCAGACGAAACACTTGACACTCACTAGCTGTGTGACCCTGGGCAAGTCACTTAACCCCAATTGCCTAAAAAAAAATTAAATATTAAATTAAATTAAATTAAAAATTGAATATACTCTTGATTGGAAATAGCATACTAAGACAAAATAGAACAATAGGCAGAAATTCTGCACTACCAAGTATGGTTCATCAGCTCAGTGCACTAAGGAATACAATTGAAAATTTACAAAATATATGGAAAAGTATGACTACATTCCCCTTCCCATATTCATATGTTTATTTGAGGGGGATGGGGGAGATTTTACATTGAAAGAATATATGACTGCTGATTTCTTTTCCTTTTAATATTATTAATGTTGTAAAATAATAATTCTCATTAATAAATAATTATATAGAAACCTGTTCCTCAGTTACAAGGTATAGTCTGATTTATAACTGAATAGCTGGACTGGAGGAACTGAGTGAGTGGTCCCATGGGACAAACCTCCCAGGACAATGATCAAGAAGAGCTAGAAGAAAGCAGGGCACTTGTAGACAGAAGATATGGGTTAAGATTTCACCTCTGCTGTTTACTGTCCATGGGGGTGTGGGTGTACCCCTCTGTGTGTGTCTGAACCTCATTCTGTAAAATGGGGATAGTAATGTTCGTACAACGTACCTCTCTGGGTGGCCCAGAGATCATTGTCAGTTGTGTACCACTATAGAAAAGGGATCCATTGTTACTAAGGGCATGGCATCATATGCATAAGGATGGGCACAGAAATTCATGTTGAAAATCAAACAACCTTCTCTTAGTGCCCAAGCTGCTCCCTATTTGTGAATGTAGGGAATTGATCAGGAAAATGCCCCATCATCTACATCTATGTAATATAGAAAACCAAGTTTCACTCTGGGTCTGTTAGAATTCTGTTTGTTAAGCCCAGTGCAAAAGGAGTTTTTCTTCCTCTAAGGTAAGCTGGCATTGACTAAACTAACCTGGCACAAGTGGTTTAAAGGATGTTTTATTGTATTGGTTGATTGCTTGCCTTGATTTGTTGTGTTTTGATCTATGTGACTATTTTAGCATAATGTAGATGGTGTCTTTAAACTAAGATTTAGAGGAATATCAATACGAAGTTAGACTTTGCACTAGCAAAGCAAGACAGAGAGAAAAAAAAGTTGTTCTTACCCTGTGCTATTTCTCTTCCTTCCAGCCTAGACAAGTTCAAGAGTGTGTAGCCTCCCATCGTATGAAAAGAAATGGCTATTGGAAACAACACACAGAGAAGCTATTCCATCATCCCCTGTTTCATATTTGTGGAGGTAAGCACAGTGGTTCAATCCTGTGAAAATATTGCAGCAACAGTAGATGTTTTCATTATGCTCCAATGAGTCCCAAAACCTGAGGCTTGGTTTGGTTGAAAACAATTAGTTCCCATGAGAATTAATGTAATCTCATGGATATTAGGAAAGAATTAACGAATTCATTAGAAGCATGATCTCTTTAGTGAGAAAGCCAACTACAGAAAAAGCTTACACATTTCATCTATAGGGTTCAGAAGAAACACTTGTTCATTTTTCCCATTTCTTCCAAGTGGTAACTCAAATATCTTCATTCCAACAAATCCTTTAGTTTATGGATATTAAGTATGTCAAGAAATATAGTATTTATGCAAATTATTTTCAGAAAGGTGTCCTTGGAATTTAGGCAATCAGGGTTTCTTCTTTTTCCTGTGTTAGTTCAAGGATTTCTCCCTTCACAGTCAAAAGAAAAAAATATCTTAGAGATGAGTATTTTCTATGAGGTTTTTAAAAAATATATATTTTATGCTTCTTTCTCCCTCATCCTGTGAAGCCAAGGCATCTTACAGTGTATTTTAAGTCCAGAATCTTTGAGCTGAGAATAGCTTTTCTGAGTTTGATTGGGTCCTGAATCTCCTCCTACTCCACCTCTCCGTACTCCAACCTCACTTTTCCATGCTGCTTATTTTCAGCAAAGGCAGGGGGGACACAGAGGAGAATCAATATGTTGAGCAGTGTGGGTGGGAGGGGGTGGAGGGGAGTCCATTCAATACTATCCCAACCCGGAGTGCTATGAGTTATGAAAAGCCACTTTGAAAATGTCCCAAAATAAGTCTTAGATTCCTAAAAGACATTGCTCTTTAATCTCAGCACCTCAATTTTCTATCCCATCACCTTCATAGTGCCTGAGATATCCTTATACGACCTATAGTCTGAGTCATCAGAGACCAACTTCTAAAAGCAATCATAATAAAGAGCTGAAGAGTATATTATAAGGGTTCTGTGATGCAAGTTTACCCTAAGCCTAGATAATATAAGGCGGATTCAGGGTGAGCAAAAGTCCTCTGGGTCAATAGAGGACTGTGTGAGCTGTCCTCCTGACATTATATGGTCATTTTGGAAGAAACACTCCTTTGAACATACAATAGTCCAGAGGAAGTGTTTTCCTGAAAATTTTCCTCGAGAGGCATTGATAAAATATTGTTTTTCATTCTCCTGAGGTCTGGCTCATTTCCTACCCAAAGGTGCCTGACCTTGGGCAAGTTGGTTCACTATTCCAAGTGTGGACTTCTTTATTAGTAAAATAGCAATAATAACATCTTCCCTCCCCATCTCAAGTTGCTGTATGAGGATCAAGACAGATAACATATGGGTTGTTGTTGTTGTAATTGTTCATCCTTCATTCTTGAAGAGGACCAATGATATCACAAGGGTAATGTCTTGACTTGCATGTGTATTAGATTTAAATGGGGCAGAGCCGCACAAAGTCGTCAGTCTCTCACTCTCTTCCCGAGTCATCAGTCCAGTGGCAAGACAAAAGTCAAGCTGACTGGAGATGGCCTCGGCTCATCATGGTTAATGTGTGGGACAGCTTTTGTCAACTGTGAAGTGCTGTACAGATACATATGCATATGGGTATATATACACATACAGATGCCAAAAATCAAGGCATTTGGTAGCATTTTTTGGTTTTTCATCTGGAACATTTGCCACATCATACACACAGTCAGCTTTTAAATATGCAATCGTTACTGGCTAACTGATACTCTAGGGCAGCTAGATGATTCAGTAGAGTGCCAGACCCGAAGTAAGGCAGACTCATCTTTCTGGGTTCAAATCTGGTCTCAGACCTACTAGCTGTTTGATCCTGGGCAAGTCTCTAAACCCTGTTTGTCTCAGTTTCCTCACTTGTAAAATGAACTAGAGAAAGAAATGGCAAACCACTCCATTACATTTGCCAAGAAAACCCCAAATGGGGTCACAAAGAGTTTGCCGTGATTGAAAAATGACTAAACAACTGATCCTCTAAAGAGGATCTTAAACTAGTGTTAAAAAAAATGGATTAGGGCTGAGATGTTCACAAAGGAAAGATAATATTTTGTGCAGAAAGGCAGGTAGGTGGGGGAAGTTAATACTAAGCTTGATCTCTTAATAAGAGAACAGGAAGAAACAACCATTCAATTCAAACAACCAAAAAACCATTCAATCAACCAAATATTCACATTCACTTTCTAGTGATCTCTGATATATCCTAACTACAAAGCCTCCCTCTCCCACCTTTCTTTACTGAATTCTAGAAGCAAAGAGAAAGTGTAAATTCATATTAAGATCATTTAGGACTGTACTTTTAAAATTAGCTTATGAAATACACAAAACAGGACAAATAATTCCTGTGTCAGGTACTTAATATACTGTTGGGGGCTATTCTGAGTCATATCTACCACAGGGTGCTAACATTCAGGGGGCAGTGTGCATTTATACTCCTTTGTCACGTAGGTAAATTGAGCTTAGAATATATCTGGGGCCTTACTCACTGTAGGAGGCCTCCTCTGCAGCAGCTACTCAGCATCCTGGTGTCTTCACTCATGTTGACTGATGTCTTGGAGTTTATGGCTACTCTTGGTGAGACATAATGGCCCATGATCTCTCCCCTACAAAGCATTTTGTCCTACAAAGTTGATTTAAGAAGTTTCATTTTGCTTTCACTGGGCCACTAAATTGCTAATAATGGCTATACTATACTACTGCTCTGATAATGATGATGTGGAATGAATAAATAAATAAATGAGCATTTATTAAGCACCTATTATATGCCAGGTTCTATGCTAGGTGCTGGTAACACAAAAACAAAATTGAAATAGTCTCTGCCCTCAAGGACTATACATTCTTTCAGGGGAGAAAACATAGACACATAAAGGCACATACAGAATATATACATAATAAACAAGGTAATTTGGTGGGAGAATACACTAAAATCTGAGGGGAAAGTCTTATGCAGGAGGTAGCATTTGAACAGAGCTTTGACAGAGACTAAGGCAAATGTGAAGAGGAAGTACATTTTAGCCATAGGGGATAAACTATAGAAAGACTCAGAGGTGGGAAATGGGATGTCATGTGTAACAGCAAGCAGGCCAGTTTGGCTACACCACAGAATGTGGTAAGCAGAGTTGTTTTTGTTTTTGTTTTTGTTTATTGTTTAGTCAATTAATCATATTCATCTTTTTGTGACCCCATTTGGGGTTTTCTTGACAAAGATACTGGAGCGGTTTGCCATTTCCTTCTCCAGCTCATTATGCAGATGAGGAAACTGAGACAAATGGGGTTAAGTGACTTGCCCAGGGTCATACAGCTAGTAAGTGTCTGAGTCCAGATTCGAACTCAGGTCCTCCTGAATTCAGGATTGGTGCTCTATCAACCTAGTTGTTCTGGTAAGCAGAGTACTATGCAATAAACCTGGAAATGTAGATTGGGGACCAGTTGTGAATGGCTTTAAATACTAAACAGATGCGCTTATATTTGATCCTTGCTATAAAAAGAGTTCACTAGAGTTTATTGAGTGATATGATTAGACCTGCACTGTAGGCATGTCATTTTGGCGACTGTGTGGAAGGTAGATTGGAGTGGGAAAAGATGAAGCAGAGAGATCATTTAGGAGGTTATTGAAATAGTCCATATACTGAAGGCCTGAACAAAGATGGTGTTAATGTGAGTGGAGAGAAGGGGAAGGATGTAAGAAATATTATAGAGGTAGAATCAATAAGTTTAATTGGATATTTGAAATAACAAGACTAATTTTCAACTAATCAGATATTTTAGGTAAAAGAGAGTGAAGAATTGAGGATGACTTTGAGGTTGATTAGAAGGGTAGTGGTTTACTCAATGGAAATAAGGAAATTCGTAAGAGGTCTGGGTATCTGGAAAACTTAATGAGTTATGTTTTCATATGTTGAATTTGAGATGCCTGTGTCCAGTCCAATGTGCCCTATAGGCAGTTGGTAATTATGGACTAAGGCTCAGGAGGGAGGGTGTAGCAGGATATGTAGATATGGGAAATATCTGCAGAGAAATAATAATTAAACCTATGAGCATTGATGAAGTCAAAAGAGAGAAATAGTAGAGGGATAATAGGACAGTTATTTGAGGTACACCTACAGTTCGGAAAGGTGATATGGTGATGATCAAGCAAAAGACGTTGAGAAAGAGCTGTCAGACAGGAAGGAGGAAAACCAAGGATGAGGGGTGGAGACAATGGGGGCCAGGGAGAAATAGGGAGGGAGAGAGAAAAAGAGGGAGGGAGAGAGAGAGAGAGACAGACAGAGACAGAGACAGAAAGAGAGACAGAGACAGAGAGAGAGAGAGAGAAAGACGGAGAGAGACAGAGAGAGATAGTAGCAGAGAGTGACAGAAAGGCAGAGGCAGAGACAGAGACAGCAACAGGGAGAAGAAGAGAAGAGAGGGAGAGGAGAAGAGAAGAGAAGAAGGGAGAGGAGAAGAAAGGAGAGGAGAGTAGCCGTGAGGAAAGAGGTCAGCAAGAATCCTTTCCTTGGGGTGAAGGACTCATTCAAGCCTTTCTTTTTCATTCTTTCCTATTTATCAAAGTATTAGGGTAAAATGTTTTGCTACCACATTTTTAATGTTTCAACCCTTATTTCTTTGTGACAGAAAACAAATTTCGTGAAGTAAGCTGATGGGAAATCGGATAGGGAATAAGTCATCTGTCATCATCTTTATGCCTCCAATAGCAATTTTATTTTAAATTTGCTTAAAAATCAGAAGGCAACCAAACCTCAGAGTAAGATGTTTAATTTATAGCCTAGAGCAACCATCTCTGAAGATTTTCAGCCCTCTAATGCGTGAATGATGAGCTTGACTTGTAGAGCAGGTGATAGAGATATAAATTAGTCTTCCTGTGGCTTAACCTGACACAAACACAAAAATAAATCAAAGAACTGGCTTTCATCTCTTTATTTTGGTGTATTCACACTCTTATAAAGAGTGAGCATACCTTTGACAGGATTCCT